GGCCTATTGGTCCAAGGCTACACCTGTACAGCATGTTACTGTACACCAAGGTAGTGGATGCTGAAGGTTGGGGTGGCTGTGGCAATTTCTTCAAATAAGACCACAATGAAGTTTGGCGCATTGACTGACTCTTCCCTTCATGAAAGATTTCTCTGTAGCATTCAATGCCATTTGATAGGAATTTACCCACAGAACTTCTTTCAAAATTGGAGTCAATCCTCTTGAACTCTGCCACTACTTTATCAACTAAGTTTATGTAGTATTCTAAACCCTTTGTTGTCATTTCAACAATGTTCACAGCATCTTCACCAGGAGTAGATTCCTTCTCAAGAGACCACTTTCTTTGCTCATCTGTAAGAAGCAACTCCTCATCCATTCAGGTTTTATCATGAGATTGCAGCAATTCAGTCAAATCTTCAGGCTCCAGTTCTAATTCTTGTCCTTTTGCTATTTTTACCACGTCGTTGCTGAACTCTTGAGTTCCTCAAAGTCATCCATGAAGGTTGAAATCAGTTTCTTTTAAACTCCTGTTAATGCTGATATTTTGACGCCCTCCCATGATTCATGGATGTTCTAATGACATCTAGAATAGTGAGTCCTTTCCAGAAGGCTTTCAGTTTACTTTGCCCAGATCCATCAGAGGAATCATTCTCTGTGACCGCTACATGCAGGGGAGAGTATTTGAGGCAGGCCCACGAGGAGATGAGCTACTTTTTTCCACGGAGCCAAGTCCCTACGATAGGGGTCGCCACAGAGCATAAGGAAACTGACAGGCAACACAGAGAAATAAAAGAATACACAGAGACTAAGGTATAGTTTATAGTTTTATATGTATAAAAAGATCAGATATAACGAGACTGGTGTATCTTTATAAACACCAGCAATATGGTTAGATTCATACAGGTTTTTATAATTACAGATATCAATAACCAGTTGTCAGGGTAATATATTTGCATATCAGGGATTGCAGTTGCTAGGGGATACAGGTAGTGGGTTAGGGTCAAAAGTCCTCTCAAGGGGCTTTTAATCTATCTAGGTGAACAAACAGATACAAAGTCTTTTAGGGGCTAAGTTTTACATTTTAAGAGGTAGTTGTCAATTAACAAAGGTATAACAAAAAATATAATAACTTTATATTTTTTTAATTAGTTATAGACTTAAAAATAAACAGACAAGAGAGAGCAAAAAACCCATCTCTAATAAACAAGTTGTTTATAACCACCAGGGCACATCTCTGGGCAAAGTATACTCATTGTCTCTGGCTTTTATCCTGTGAGCCATATTTGCCTTGTCTTGTCTTTCAAGACACAAAAAAGCTCACAGATTTTGAGATACCAAAAAGCCTTTCCAGAAAACATCCCCATCAGAGATTAGAGAGCTCTCCCACGATAGTAGCCTCTAATAAATAAACCATTGAGACCACACATTCCTTCAGGGCAAAACCCTGCAAACTCCTGTTTCTGTCTTTAATGTAGTAATATTGGGTTATACAATAAAATAATGATCTTATAAGCCATGTTTCATTAATTCCTTAATCATATTTTCCCAACAGCTATAGCCTTGCAAAATGTATTTCTTAAATAATAAGACTTGAAAGTCAAAACTACTCCCTGCTCCATGGGCTGCAGAATAGATGTTGTGTTAGCGGGCATGAAAATGACATTAATCTCCTTGTACATCTCCATCAGGGCTCTCTGGTGACCAGGTGTATTGTCAGTGAGCAGTAATATTTTGAAAGAATCTTTTTTCTGAGCAATAGGTCTCAATGGTGAGCTTAAAAGTAAGCTCAGTAAACCACGTTGTAGACAGATGTACTGTCATCCAGGCTTTGATGCCCCATTTACAGAGCACAGGCAGAGTAGATTAAGGGCCCTAAGATTTTCAAAATGGTAAGTGAGTATTGGCTTCAACTTAAAGTCACCAAGTGCATTAATCCCTAACAAAAGAGTCAGCCTGTCATTTGAAGCTTTGAAGCCAGATGTTGACTTCTCCATAGCTATGAAAATACTAGACAACATCTTCTTCCCGTAGAAGGGTGTTTTGTCTACATTGAAAATCTGTTGTTTAGTACAGCCACCTTCGTTCATGATCTTAGCTAGCTCTGCTGGATCACTTGCTGCAGCTTCTACGTCAGCACTTGCTGCTTCGCCTTGCACTTTTACGTCATGGAGGCGTCTCCTTTACTTAAATCTCATGAACCAACCTCTGTTGGCTTCAAACTTTTCTTCTGCAGTGCTGTCACTTCTCTCAGTCTTCATTGAATTTTTAAAACGTTAGAACTTTGCTCTGGATTAAGCTTTGGCTTAAGGGAAAGTTGTGGCTGGTTTGATCGTCTATACAGAACAGTAAATCTTTCTCCATGTCAGCAATGAGGCTATTTTGCTTTATCATTCTTGTACTCACTGGAGTAGCACTTTCAATTTCCTTCAAGAAATTACCTTTGTATTCACAACTCAGCTAACTGTTGGGTGATAGGTTTAGCTGAGCCTGTCTCGGCTTTCAACATGCCTTCCTCATTAAGTTTAGTCATTACTAGCTTTTGATTTAAAGTGCGAAACGTGAGACTCTTCCTTTCTCTTGAACACTTAGAGGCCATTGTACTAGGGTTAATAACTGGCCTAGTCTCAGTACAGGGTCTCAGAGAATAGGGATGCCCGAGGAGACGGAGAGAGATGGGGGAACAGCCAGTAGATGGAGCAGTCAGAACACACAAAGCCTTTATCAGTCAAGTTCATTGTGTTACATGGACACAATTTGTGATGCCCCAAAACAATTACAATAGTTAAACATTAAAGATCATTGATCCCAGATGACCATAACAGCCATCATAATAATGCAGAAGTTTGAAATACTGTGAGAATTACCAAAATGTGACACACAGACATGAAGAGAACACCTGTTGTTGGGAAAATGGCATCAACGGACTGGGCTCACGCAGGGTTGCCACGAACCTTCAGTTTATAAGAAACATAGTACCTGCAAAGCACAGTAAAGCGAAGTACAATAAAACAAAGCATGCTCACACATGGAACGGAGACACGGGAAGAAAGTGAGTGAGAAGGGAAAAAGAGATGCAGGAGTCCAAGTGGAAGACAGGAGTTTGGGGCCCACGATTTGTCATTCTCCTTCTCAGAGGAGTCATAGCCCTTTACACAACTGCTGTCCCCAGGGACAAGCAAAAGTGGAAGCAGAACAAGGTAAACACTCAGATCCCTGGGTAACAGAGGAGGGGAGGCTGGGAGGCCAGCTGTACCCTTGCTCCTTATTCATCCCACCCCATGGAGTTCCCACCCCTTTAATCCCACCCCATGGAGTTCTTTCAATGTCCCTGGGAGAAACTAACACCCTTGGCTTGCATGAGGCCAACTCCCTCCTTAGCCAAGCCCACAGCCAAGGGTGTGGCAAGTTCCAGTTGGTACCAAATTGGAAAATGGTGCAGGGGGTGGGAGTAGGAAAGTGAGTGAGGATCAAAAGATCATGAATCATTAAAGTACCAACTATTCACTAATGACCAATAAATAATACAATAAATATTTATCGTCTACTCCATGTCTAACACTGAGATGGACACAAAAGGAATGTGAACAAACCCTGTCCTTCCTGTCACACGCATTCCTGATCCCCACCCTTGTCAGCCCTAAGTCTCCTCTCTGACCCCCAGCTGCACTTTGTAACCCCCACCCAACATTTGTCACTTTGTACCTTATCTCACACTTAGTTGTATAGACGTCTTTCCTTTTCTGGACTGTAAGCTCCTTGAGAGTGTGATTCCTATCTAATCTATGATTGTCTACACCAGTGTCTGCACAGCAAGTGAATAATAAAAAATGTATTGGATCCAAGCTTGATAACTCACTGCTTCTCAGGGTGTGCAGAAGCAAGCACTCCTGCAATGTCAGTGGGAATATGAATTGTCATAACTTCTTTAGAGGACAATTTGGCAGTATCCATCAAAAACTTCACTTTTAGGAATTTTCTGACGTGAATAAAGACACCTATGGAAAGATATTAATTGGAAAATCCTTTAAAAATCTAAATGGCTGTCAGTTGGAGAGTCACTAAACAAATTAATAGTTGTTCTATAAAATAAAATACAATTAACTATATGACGTATTATAATATATAAATATATTTTGGAAGAATATAATAGATGGGGCCAGGTGTGGTTGCTCATGCCTGCAATCATAGTACTTTGGGGGGGGTCCAAGGCTGGAAGATTGCTTGAGGCCAGTTCAAGACCAACCTGACAACATAGCAAGACCCCATCTCTACAAAATATTAAAAAATTAGCTGGCTGCAGTGATGCACACCTGTAGTCCCAGCTACTGGGGAGGCTGAGGCAGGAGGATCGCCTGAATGCAGATGAGATATCCATCAGAGGTTGCAGTGATCTGTGAATCCTGCCACTGCACTTAGACTGGGTGACAAGTGAGACCTTGTCTCTAGAGAAAAAAATATACATATAATAGATGCAAAGAAATAAAGAAATAATTTTTGCGTATGGGATTGACTGAAGATATATGAGGAAACTTTCTGGGTATTACTAATGTTTTGTATCTTGATTAGAGTTTGAGTTACATAAGTGTATGTTTTTATCAAAACTCATGCAATTGTTCCCTAAAATCTGTGTGTTTCATTGTAGGCAAATTATACCTCAAAGGAAAAAAATTAACCATCAACAAATATCAAACTCTAATTACTTCTCTGCATGCTGAAGTATAAATATATAGGCAGTAGTGTACTGATGTTCCCAACTTACTTTAAAATGTATCAAAAAAATAAGATGCATTGATGGATAAAAGGGATGGATATATGAATACACATGTAATAAGACAAGTATACTATAATGTTAATTATTAAATCTAGGTAGTGGGTACATGGGTATTCACTGTAAAATTCTTTTCTGTATGTTTTTAATAAATCACAATAAAATGGTCTATATATGTTGATGTATATATTTTTTAATTTTTTAAAATTTCAGCATATTACAGGGGTACAAATGTTTAGGTTACATATATTTCCCTTGTCCCACCCAAGTCAGATCTTCAAGCGTGTCCATCCCCCATTCTGTATATATTGATATGGAACAATCTCCAACATATATTGTTAGATGGAAAAAGCAAAATATAAAGCAATTGCTATAGCATGCTCCCATGTATATAAAGAAAGGGAGTCTATATGTATTACTTTTGCATATTTATGGTCTCTCTCTGGGGTGGGGATACCCAGAAAAAAAAAGCTGGGAAACAGATTGCCTCTAGGGAAAATGACTGAGAGTCTGAGGTTTGGGGGTCTAAAGGAAACTTACTTTTTTACTATAATTTTTTTGACTGTGAAATTTTATGACAGAAGTATGCATTATTTTTAATTAACTAAAATAATTCTATTTTAGCTATCCATATCTTAAATCTTTATGTTTTTTTTTAAAATATGAAAATATCCAAACATTGACACTTTCTTAGATATTGTCTTTAATCATTATTTAATTATTTCATATGAATGTCTTATCTCTCTATCCACATCAGAAAATCTTAAAGACCAAGATCAAATGTGTTAGCTTTCCTGGGTAGATATCCTTAGAGGTTAGCACAGGGCCATGTGCAATGCAGTTACAAACAAATGCTCCAGGGCGAAATCGGGTCCCAGTGACAAGAAGGTGCCCCCTGCTGGTGTCACACAGATGTACCCATTATATAATATTCAAACCACAACTCTGGCTTTGGCTGTAGCTGACTAAGCTGGAGGAGCAGGGTGGGGAAGGGGTAATAAACTTGGAAAGTGGAGCTCAGAAAGGTTAAGGAACTCACCCAAGGTCACATGGCTAGTTAAGTGGTGAAACTGAGATGTGAAACCAGGTTTGGCCACCTGCAAAGCACATGGCTGGCCCATGGAGCCTCCTGTTTGCCCATGTCTTGAGGCATTTTCATGTGGGACTCTGTTGCCAGTATCTGTAGACATTTCAATCAAACACAATGCCCTTTCTGTTGTTGTTACTCAGCAACGGCCACACTCAATTTCTCAAATTCCCAAATAGCTTTTTGTGGCTTAGCGCTGAATATCTGAGCTAGAGCGACTGCCTCAACCCCACTGTTCACTCCGTTCTTTCCCAGTGAGCTTGGTACAACACTGCAACTAGTCGATGAGGGTGATAGCATGTATTTATCTTCACCTGCTGGAGGATTTATGATTCATTGGAAGCATTTCCATCTCAGAAATATCAATGTTGCTGACTCACTTCATGTTAAACCATTAATCCACCTTCCCTGGCATTTGGAGGAGCTGTGACTCAGGGAATTAGTGAAGAGAAAAACACAGCCAGCTGAATTAAAAGGTCAAGGTTCAGGGAGTTTGGTTTTACCTAAACAAATCGTACACTTTCTCCAAGCTGGTTTCCTCCTCTGTAAAATGAAAATGATAATCAGACTTACCCGACAGGTCTTTTATTAAGGATCAAATGAAATCATGTATGTGGGCCAAATCAATTGTTTCTACACAAAGAGATATACATATCTATGACCACCAATATCCTTTTTGAAGTAACCTGCATTGGGTTCTGTGGCTATTCAGTTAAAAGGTTCATCTTGGCCAGATGTGGTGGCTCACAACTGTAATCCTAGCACTCAGGGAGGCCGAGGTGGGAGGATCAAGACCAGGAGTTCGAGACTAGACTGAGCAACAGCAAGACCCCGCTTCTACTAAAAATAGAAAGAAATTAGCCAGACAACTAAAAATATATAGAGAGAAAATTAGCTGGGCATGGTGGCACATGCCTATAGTCCCAGCTACTCGGGAGGCTGAAACAGAAGGATTGCTTGAGCCCAGGAGTTTGAGGTTGCTGTGAGCTAGGCTGATGCCACGACACTCTAGCCTGTGCAACAGAGTGAGACTCTGACTCAAAAAAAAAAAAAAGTTCTATCTTTTATCAGTCTTACTTAGCTGATAAAAGGTAAACATCCTGAGACAGAGCCTGCAATCTTAATTTCCCTATCCTGCCTTTTATGTCGGTAACTTTATTTTATCTTCTGATGGTCTCCTTGGCTGCCTTTGCTGCCTGAAGACCAACCTTTTCTGAAGATGCCAAATGGTGAAGGGAAATAGAATCTAACCTCTCCTCCACAAAAGACCAGAATAACGATCTCAGAACGCCATAGGTGTTTTGTTAAATTATCATTAGGAGGGCAGCCCAAAACAGTGTTCAGAGCAGAATGACGCAGTGCTTAAGAGCCAGGTTGCTGGGGTCAGACTGCTGGTTCAAAATCTAACCCTGCCCTTAATTAGCTACTCACCGTTCTTTGAGTTTCTGACCTCATCTATAAAATGGACATAATTATAGAAACTACCTCCTATCATACTGTATGTATTTTAAATTACTTAATTTGTGTAAAGTATTTAGGACAGTGAGCAGTACACACAAAACATTCTACATATGTTGGCTACAACTATAAAGCAGACCTGGATTCAGAAACACAAAATCACAGAATACAAAGCCACAGAGACAAGCACACTGCAAGAGGCAGTCAGATCCCAGTGGGAGTCAGGCCATTAGCTCGGCTTTTCCCTTGTTCTCCTTGCTTTCTCACTTCCCTTTGCTGTCATTTCACAAAATGAGGTAGGAACCATGGGCAGAGAGGAATAATTCAATCTCCAGCAGGGCTTGTCAGAGACGGGCAAGTAGGAAGGGGAATGCCAATTGAATTAAGTGGTGCATTCATGTTTTGCTAAGGATACTAAGTTGATAAAAAAAAAAAAAGAAAGAAAGGGAAAGAAGATCTTTTGGAAACAAGTTGGCCATATATATTCAGAGCAATAAAAAACTTCCATATTGTTTGCCACTCTGACATTTCTTAAAATTTATCCCGAGGAAATAATCCAAAAAGTGGGAAAACTATACATAAGATATTGCATTATTTTTTTAATGGCTTTATTAAGATATAATTCACTCTTTTAAGGCATACAATTCAGAGGGGTGTTTTTAGTATTATTCAGAGTTACTCAAACATCACCATTATCTAATTTTAGAGCATTTTCATCACCCCAAAAAGAAACCCATTAGCAGTTACTTCCTGTTTTTCCTTCCCCTCTAGCCACTCACTCCCAGCAACATCTAGTCTACTTTCTGACTCTTGCAGCATTCTTTTTAATGACCAAAAAATTTAATAAAATAAGCTCCATGTTATTGAGTAACATGGGGTAAATTAAGTTATGATATATGCATTCAATAAAATATTTTATGGCTGTTAAAAATTACTACAATAATGACTGTATCGACAGGTGAAATAGATACTACATAAAGCTTAAAATTTCTTAACAATACAAAGTGGTGAATAGACTCTGATTCCAGCTAGCGCACATTATGGTTTGTATATTGACAGCCTGGAAAAAAAATGTAAAAATTTTAAATGGCCATGTTAGGATTATGAGATTGTGGGTCATTATTTTCTTCAGCTTTTTGATGTTTTGTAACTTTTTTTAAACAACTGCAATTTTTAGAAAATCGATTTTAAATTATTGGAATAGAGAATATATGAAAGGGCACAGCCAGCCAGCAGTGTGGACTCTCTGATTTGGATCCAATTCTAATCTCAATTAACGAATCTCTCCATCGCAGCCTCCTTCCGGCAACCAAGAGCCTTAAGCTACAAAGGTCCCCCTCTCCCAGACTGCTTAAGCCCCCACCAGCCGTTCAGGCCACAGCTGGCCCCTTGCCTCTCAGCCTCCACCCCCCATGCCCAGAACTCACTCCTTAACAGACCCCCTTACTTATCGTACATACCAACGACCCTTCCCCAATTTCCTTCTATTCATATATGAACTGTAGATGGAAATCCTGATTCCAAATACTTGGCCCACATGAGCTGAATAGGAACGAAATTCGTGGCAACAAAACAACAACCGCCCTCCTCTCACTCCCATTCCTACTTCAAATAGAGACACACCTCATTTAGAGGACCACGGCCTTCCTGCTAGGTCTCCTTCCTCTCCCCACTATTAATCTGGGACAGAGAATCATTTTTGACAACAGACCACTACCTGCACGTGCACACCAGCATGGTAACATTCACTGTCATTGTCTCTCTCTCTGGAATACACACACACAGAGTCCCTGGGGAGCCTGGCTGGGCTGCGTGCACACTGTCCGCAGCTCGCCTGGGTTTGTCCACTAGCAACACTCAGGAGGAACAGAGCCCAGCCCTGTCTAACCTTCTCTGGCTCAAGGACACAGTGTGCCTCCACCCGCTCCCCACCTCACACCTACGTACCGCCTGACTCACAACTGAAAAGCGAGCCTCCTGGATCTCCCCTGGGTGCGGTGAGGTCAGGTGAAAGGACAGCCTTCTACTAAAAGCATGACTCCCCTCAGTGAGCGCCTACTATGTGTCTGGAACCATGTTAGTTTCCTACATTCAGAGATGACTGAAACCGACCACTCGCCTTGAGAGGCTTACACTGGAAGGAAAACAGGTAAACAGAAAACTACTGTATGGCCAGGTAAGTGGTGGGTCAGATTTAGGGAGGAATGCTGTGGAAGCCCTGTGGACACAGGCTCCGCAGCAGGCGTCATCTCCGAGGCGGACTTTGAAGAACCAAGAGTTGGCGGGGCCGAGGAGCGCACGAACACCTGTGCAGAAAACAGGGCGCCGCGGAAACTGCACCCGGGCGCCCCGTTCCATGCCCACCCCACTGCTGACGGTGCAGCGCACTGTGAGAGCTACGGAGATAAGTAAGCCAGATACCTGGGAGAGACGGCCACAAAATAAATTTCCCAAATGGAAGGCAAAGTGCCCCGGGCCATAGTTAACATACAGCAGGCATTGAGAAGAAAAGAGAGGGAAAGGTTAATTCTAACTCTGGTCCTAAGTACAAAGCCCTTTGGGAGTGAGAGCAGCCCTGTCGTTAAGAGCACTGCACTGGCGGTCAGAGTGAGCAAAAATCAGAAAAAATCAAGGTGCGGCAGTCTCAGGAGGTCAGCCTTGGGGAACGAAGGGGCGGAGGCAGGCTGGGCCGGGACAGAAGGATTGGGCAGAGCAGAGGGCGGGGCCCGTGGGCTCCACCTCCCCCTACTTACTTTCTGCGGAGTCTGTGCAGACAGGTGAGCCAGGAACTCCTGGGCCGGGTGCGGGGGCGGAGGGTCCTGGGAACGGGACAGAGGTCTGAGGAGAGGGTCTGCGGCTCCTTGCTTTACAGCGTTCTGGGGACTCCCGACAGGCCGCTTTTGGGGTACGGGCTGCCAGGGGTTGTTGCTGCTTCAAGGAAAGAAAAGGCTTCCCCTTCCCCTCCCAGACCCTGGGCCAACTCCTGGCAGGAAACTTGAAATTGAGTTTAGTGGGTTAGGATCAGCAGAGGGTGAGAAGGGGACCCTGGCAGATATGGGGTCTCAAAGAAGACCGGACTTATCAGGGGCCCTGGCCGTGGCCCTGGGCCTTTGTCTGTGAGATTCCTTCTCAGGCAGTTGTGTCCTGTGGCTCTCTTAATCCTGTGTGCACTTCCTCCCTCCAGCTGGAGCATGGGCTGACTGTGGAGAAAAGGGGAAGACCAGGTCAGACAGGGTAAGTGGGGCTCCCTCCCCCTTATCTCTCCAGCCCCTAGCTGGGCAGGTGGGGGTGGAGGTCCAGCAGGAGCAATTACAGGAAAAGGGCAGGGCCTGGCCCATCACCTGGATTCCAGAGATGCTGGTGTGCACAGAGGCCCCAGGCAGGGCGCACCCAGGACTGGATCCTGGGTGGCAGAGAGGGACAGAGCTAGAAGGGAGTCTGCAGGGAGGAAAGAGAAAGGAAGGCGGGCAGAGCTGGGACACAGTAAACTCATGTGAGCGCTGGGGCTCAGGGCTCCTGGGTGGTTTCCTGGCTATTCCACACACACTGATACAGAGAGAGAATTGCGGAGCTGGAGGGGACCCTGTAGATCATTTATCTGATTTGAGATTGAAGAACCAGGAACCCAAACAGAGGAGTATAATATGGTGACTTTGGTATCTGACAGAGCCATGATGCCAATTGCTAGTTTAGACACAACAGCTGTGTGTCTTTTTGCAGGAGCCTGGGAGGGCCATGGTGCCAAGCCACTTGTGGGGGAGACTGGAGAAGCCGTTTATCTTCCTGTGCTGCGCCTCCCTGCTCCTGGGGCTGGCTTTGCTGGGCGTACGGCCGGACTTCGCCCCTGTTGCTTATTTCTTTCTCGCCTTGGGTGGCTTCTTCTTGTTTGCCTGCCTCCTAGCCTGTTTTGTGGAATGGGGACTCCGGCTCCGGCTCCAATCCATGCAGTCCGAGAGCCCAAGGGCCCCAGGCAATGCACGGTGAGTTAAGGGGTGGGCAGGATGAGAGGAATATACCTTAGGCCCATTCTCCTTCTGACCCTCTAGTTTCCAAGGCATAGGGTCTCTGCTTTCCTCTTTCACTGGCAACAGTGAGAGGAGGGGTCAGGTGCCAGAGGGGATCTTTTGCTGGTGGCAGACAGAAAGGGAAAAAGGGCTTTCAGGAAGCCACCTTTTTTCTCCTCCCTCAGGGACAATGACGCCTTTGAGGTGCCAGCCTATGAAGAGTCTGTGGTAGTGTTGGAATCACGGTACCACCACCAAGAGGTGGACCAACCACCCCCCTACAGCAGTGTTGTGATTCCCCCAGGACTTGAGGAGGGGCAGGAGGGGCACACAACAAGACTGGAAAGGCGAGTGGGCTCAGAGGGATCTATGGCCCAGGAAAGAAGCCCTGGAAGGATTCAAGTCAGCCATCAGCTTCAGGGACCACAGGCCGTGTCCACTGCTCCTGATCTGCGAAGCTTGGCAGCACTCCACAAACTGGAGCCTCTTACTCCGCCCCCTGCCTATGATATCTGCTTTGGTCACCCTGATGATAATAGTGTTTTCCGTGAAGACAACTAGTCGCCCCCCTAAACAGCTCTCCCAGGATTTACTCTCTCCCCATACCAGACCCACGCATTCATTTGACCATTTCCCAGTGCCTTCTATGTGTCAGGAGCTGTGTTTCTGCCTGGACATCATAAATGGGTACTTGGACCCAGAGGGGAGTCACGCTACAGTAAGCCCTTCCCAATTGAGATGTAGGTGGTGTAATTTGAGCCTTCTGGCAACATTCGGTAACCTACCCCATATCCAGTATTTCCAGAGTTAGATTGAGGTGAGGTGAGGAGGTGATTCTGAGAAGATGGAGAAAGAAGAAAAGAATAGCATCAGAGTGACAGCTATGTTGCTTCTGATCCAGGTGCTTTGCCCCTATTAGTTCCCTTTTGCTTCCAGGCCTTGTGGGCTTTTATTATTCTCGTTGAAAAATAAGGATTCCAAGGGTCATGGGAATTTGTTAACTTGCACAAGAGCACACTGCATAAAAATAACTTGAACAAACTCCTCATTCCAAAGCCTACTGTGTTTTCAATACAAGGTAATGGGAAGCCAAGCCTCCTGCACATATTTCAGTCTCTATCTTGGGACAACTGCTGGTGAGGGGTGGAAGACGGCATACAGACAGAATGGTGGGCCAGAATGTGTCTACAGACGGGTGGGCTGAGCGTGAAGAGGGATATCCCCAGCCTCCTAGAGGAGCAAAGCTAATCAAAGCTCCTATATCAGGTCCCTGCCGCTCCATGTGGGTAGCGTCTACTGCGCCTCTGTCCTGCCCAGGGGCCAGAGAGCATCCCCCAATACAGGGTCCCCCATTTTATCCGAAAGCAGTGGAGTAAATAAATGGTCCCAGGTGCACGGACTTCCAGTTTTAACAACGGGTGGATGTGAAGGCCAAAAAGAATACGACGTGCGACTTTCTTGGCGAGGGGTGAAGGGGTAGTATCTAAGGAGACTCCCTTTCGTTTACCTATCATGAAGTGCCAGGCCACTTGCAAAGTGTCTCTGGTCGCTTCAGCCTCACCCCGCGCTCTGGCCGCTGGGTTTTACCCAGCCCCCCGCCGATTTTTCTCAGATCCCAGTACGTAACACCAGGTTTTCTGGAATTGTGTGCTGCGGCTGTGATACAGGTTTCGGCCACTGAGAGCTGCTAAAGCACCGCCGATGCCGCACTCCCCATGCAGGCCTTCACTTACCGCGCGGGTATTTGTCTAGCGCCCTCTAGCGCTCTCCACCTTCTCTGCACCCTAGCCCCAACAGTTCAACTTCAATAAACGAAAAGGCCGACCTCGCCTGTCTCCGTGAAGTTACTGCAATAGGCGGGGCAGGAGGAGTGGGAGGTGCCGGGGTGATTTCCGCGGGAATCTACAACCAATCGGATTCCCGAGGAGGACAGGGCCGGCCCCTCTATCTTTCCCGGCCCCTTCCCCTTCCGCCGAGCGCCTTCCCGCCCCCCATTGGACGACGCGCCCACCGCGAGAGTTCTGCGCCTGCGCACGCACCGGCGACGGAGGGGGCGGGAACTGGCCTGACACCAGGAAGAGGCGGAGGGACGACAGGGCGCAGGCGCGGAGTGCGCCGAAGGCCGGGAGAGGGATGCGAGGGAAGCGCCTGCCCACAGTTTGTTTGGCTTGTGGGCGGTGCACGCATAGCCCGGGAAAAGCGGGAAATGGCGGCACCGAGCGCGGGGTCTTTGCCCGCCCTCCAACAGAAGGGGCTAACGGCTGTTGACAGGGGGCGCAGGTGAGTGGGGAAGGGTCTTAGGGGTCCGTCGTGGGACCCAAGGAAGAGAAGCGCAGGCCCCTGGCGGGGACCCCTTCGCCCCCTCCCCTTGGAGCCCCTGAAAGCTGCCGAGTCCGCGCTTCCCGCCGAAGGTGGGAGGCCCTGCTAAGCCGTGCGGCGCTGACTCGGCGCGGGGGCGTGCATGCGTGCTTCACGGCCCAATCCCTCTTAAGCAAAGACTACCCCAGCCTCTCTTCGTGCACCCCGGGGGGTTCTGAATAAGGGGCACTCTTGCCAGTCCCGCCAGATATGGGCTTAGGCTTTTCTTAAACAATTGTCCATCCTTTCCTCTGGTTCCCTTAGGAGGAACCATTGTCTGTTCCTTTAGAAAACGATGAGACCTGCAGACCTCCGTGCTCTCCCTGATGTGCATTTGATCTGTATTGACTGTATCATGATCTGCATTGCTTTGCATATTATGATCAGATTTTCAAAGACGTCAACACCAAAGGCTTTGGTGGTTGAGTACCTTCAGAGGACAAGGAGGTTCCTGTGGCTTCAAGTGTCTCTGTTTCTGACCCCCGTCATTCCATTTCATGGCAGACTTAACCCAGGAGCATATATTTTAATGCCTCCAGGTATAGACCCAGATTAATTTAGGTTTTTGGAACGTGAAACTGCAGGATACAGAATTAAGACTTAAGAACTCGTTTGGTGTCCTTTTCTCCGCCCCCTCCTTCCCTTCCAGATGTGTTCTAAAATTCTAAGTGATGGGCAACTTTTGGAACGTTCACATTTAAGACTCTCCACAATAATATGCAGAGAGTTAGTGATGCTTCAGATTAAAGAGTATCTGTTGATTGAAAATTCAAGTCTGGAACTTGAGACAGTTTCAAGAACTGGGAGTCAGTAAGTTGTGAGTATGGGTGAGATTATCTAGGGAGAGGCTATTTGAGGGTGGGAGTCCTAATGGAATATCAGCAATTAAGGGCAGACCAAAGACCTTTTAAAGAAAAAAGAAACATGGTAGGCAGAGAGAGTAGTCAGAGAAAATGGTGTCATGGAAACCAAGGGAAGAGAAAGTTTTAAGAAGGGAATGCTGCTGGTAAATCTAGGGGAAAAATCTGCTCCACCATTGGCTATGTATCACCCTATGGAAATACTTAGCACTCAGCTCCAATGTTATTTTATTTCTACCAGAGTTCATATATGTCATCACTGTTATTACTTTGTTGTGTTTTAAAGTGATTCTTAAATGGGGTTTTTGATTTGTGTAGATTATGATGTACCAGGATTTTACTGAAGGTTTGGTGTAGCAGAAATCTTACAGCAGAACAGAAAGAAGTTAAAATGAAGTTTCGACTCACTGTCCCCTAACCAAAATTTGTTGACCTCCTCCATCCCACTTCCTCTGCCTAAGGATCCCACTTGTTGTCTTATTGCGCTGCCTCAGTCCCTGCTTTTCCCTCTGACTTTAAATCTCTAACCCAAATACATCTCTAAGCCAAGTACATTTTTCCTTTAGATGCATGGTATTTCACTGATTCTAAGATGCAAATTCCCCCTCCACAGACACACATTTTAACATCTTTGAAATCAGGATGCATTTTTAAATGGGTTTCTAAGTTATAAACTGACATTATTATATCCTTTTCTCACTGCTGTCAGGCCCTTACTATTGTTAAGTATTTGAAAACTGACTAAGCAGGCTGAAGAGCTCTGGATTTAAATAAACTAGGCACATAGATGACATATATTGAAAATAGGATTCTTTTAGTTCATAACCAGAAGATAATCTCTTTTCAAGCCAATAGCAAAACTAAGGAATCTTTGAAATAAAGGTGTCCCTAATAAACTAAATTACCAAAATAATTTAACCTTTACTTTCTTTAACTCTTTAAATAATTTCAAATTATGTTGATTGTGTTCAACATTGGTATTTATCTACTGTGACTTTCTGCCATTCTTTCTACTTATCCATGTCTTACAAGATTCTGACTGTTTCTAGTGTCATTTTGCCACAAGAACTTAAAGTTTTAAAAAAAGCAGTTATAATTTGTGTAAGTAGGCTAGTGAGAGAGTATTATATTTGTCTTATTTATTTTCTGTTAAAACTGGCCATTGGCTTGAGTTTCTGCCAATATATTAAATTATTCCTTACCCAAGATTATTTTAAACTTACATCATTTTCAGCAGTCTAGATAAATAATACAAAATGTTTTCTGGAACAATTCTCTTAATTTAAATTGGCCTGTCAAAAAAGAAGTATTCCTTTTCATGAACATAAGTGCCTTTGTGTGTAGTATTTCGACTAAGATGATAATATTTGGTATTTCCCTCCCCTAGTCAGGCCATTCATCTCAGATGGTCTCAGTTGGACATATGCCGTAAAGAATTCTACATCATTTCCCTGTGGTCAACATGTTACTGTTTAGTACATCTTTGGTTTAACCAGATTCAACAAAATGTGCCTGATCTTGGTTATAATAGGTCTTGTTCTTTCTACCCATGCCTCTTCCACTCTACTCTTCCATGCCAGATCTTACACTTGACAGCCACTACCTTTTTATCTGTAGGATATTGGGTGTGTGCGGCATGCATCCTGACCATCAGGAAACTCTAAAAAAGAACCGCGTGGTGCTTGCCAAACAGCTGTTGCTGAGCGAGCTGTTAGAACATCTTCTGGAGAAGGACATTATCACTTTGGAAATGAGGGAGCTCATCCAGGTAAACTGGAGGCACAGAGAGAATTTAAGAATATAAATTGATTGTGGGGTAGGAGTGGAGACTGACAAAGTGTGGAAAGGATGTATCTTACTAAGGAATTGGAAATGCCCTTCCACCTCAGAGCGTTTGACAGAAAAAATACGTAGTTCAACAGTACTTTACCTGTAGAACTTTACCTGAAGAACTTTACCTGTATGTACATACTTACCTTATAAAAGGAATTCTTTAGATGGATGAGGACACTACAAGGAAGCTAATGGGAAGAAATAGAATTATATTAATAGCTAGATAAGTAAATACGATTTCATCTTTTATTCTTCGGTCTTAGGCCAAAGGGGGCAGTTTCAGCCAGAATGTGGAACTCCTGAACTTGCTGCCCAAAAGGGGTCCCGAAGCTTTTGATGCTTTCTGTGCGGCACTGAGAGAGACCAAGCAAGGCCACCTGGAGGATATGTTGCTCACAACCCTCTCTGGTCTTCAGCGTGTACTCCCACCGGTATGGAACGCTCGAAATGTGTTGGGAAGGGTTAATTTGGCTTGAGAGTAATTTCTGAGACGGGGTGGGGGAAACTAGATTTTATTTTATTTGGACTAGTCTATCTCCCTAAGGTCTGTCATAGTGAGTCCCGATTTCTTACAGTTGAGCTGTGACTACGACTTGAGTCTCCCTTTCCCGGTGTGTGAGTCCTGTCCCCCTCACAAGCAGCTCCGCCTGTCGACAGGTGAGAATTGATGAGATAAAAGGGGTCCCACAGATTGACTTTCCTTTTCTTGACTGATATCTGGCTTTGCCCTAACCTGAGATGTATTTCATATTGGCAATAGTTCTCTCAGTGAATTTTTTTAGGGTCTAGCAAGACACTATGGATAGAGTATTAGTTGGACTCATTTTCCTTATATCACAGATATTATTTTTTATGGTAATTGGCCCTTTGAGCAACTTGTATGGGTAGGAAATGATTAGCCTGATTAGCCTGTCTCCTCTGTAAAGCTTAATGAGAAAAGACTATGTCGTAGCTTAGTGAATACAACCAGGCTTTTATCAGGTAGTCCCTTCAGCCATTCAACAAGTTGAGCACCTACTACATGCAGACTAAATGCAGAGGACTCTAGGGGCGAGCGAACGCTCACAGACTCTCTGCCCTTGTGGAGCTTACAGATTAAGGGAGCGAATGAGACAGTATTTATCAAAACCCCAGTTCAAAGGGATGCCTGAAGTTACAATGACATGCTAGCATTAATGCTTAGATTGTATACTAGCTTTTTTGGCTTTCCTTCTATACCACAGATACTGTGGAACATTCCTTAGACAATGGAGATGGTCCTCCCTGCCTTCAGGTGAAGCCTTGCACTCCTGAGTTTTATCAGACACACTGCCAGCTGGTGAGTTTTACATAATGATGAGGAAAAAAGTTGGGAAATGAGATGCTCTTCCTGGGCATCTGAACCTAGTTCACATATGCATTTCCTTACTGCCTAGTCAGAAAGTCATTGCCGATTGAATACCTTCTGTGGACACTTCTTTATTTTCACCTGGTGGGGTTAAGAAGGAGAATGTGATGTCTTCGTTTTCTTGAAATCTCTGATCAGGAAGTTCATGATTTAACTGGGTTCTCCTCCCCAGGCCTATAGGTTGCAGTCTCGGCCTCGTGGCCTGGCACTGGTGCTGAGCAATGTGTGCTTCACTGGAGAGAAAGACCTGGAATTTCGCTCTGGAGGAGACGTAGACCACAGTACTCTGGTCACCCTCTTCAAGCTTTTGGGCTATGATGTTCATGTCCTACATGACCAGACTGCACAGGTACTTGAGGCAGGAAAAACTGACATGTAAATTAGGACTGGGCAACACTTTAGGGCCAGAGTCATTTGTTTCTTCTGTGTCTGCTGGGATATGTCATTTAGAAGTCATTTATTCTCCTTACCTTTTTACTCACTCTGTTATTCCTCTTGCTTTGTAATCTAGTAAAAAAGAATTGGGGCCTGCCAGTGTTGACATCTCTGGGTAGCC